AGAGCAGTTGAGGGTATAAACGGTGCTCATTTTGAAAGGTATGAATGGAAGTTGCAACCTTCAATCACCCTTCGGAACTGACTCCCATTTTTTTCCATAGAAACAATGATAGGTGAGGATGATCTGGTCCATACCACAATTTAAGGACCGCTGTCGTTCCAGGCAGCGACTTCACCCTCTCAAAGGCCGGAAACAAGTACAGGAGTTATAGCTGCCACGCGTTCACGATAATGGTGGAAGCCGTTCGGTTTGGGAGGGGCATTTTGCACTTTCGCCAGTTCCTATTCTTATTTCATGTTGGGCAACAGGCCTTATTTTGGTAAGACTAGAGACCCATGAGAGTTCACAAGGCAGCCTGTACAGGCGTCGCAGAAACCACTTGTTTCCCCACCAAGTCGAACTGCGCCGCCCGGTGCTTCCCGAAGTGAACGGGACCGCAGTCGTAGAAGTGTGTCAGTTCGTCACTCGAATGTGAGACGAGATCTCGCTAGTGACCCACAAACAGGCAAAGCATGCAGGCATGCAAAATCGCCAGGCGACCAACATGCGCCCGAAATTATAGCCAAGAGTCTAGCACTCTCGTTGCAAGTCTCCTCTGTGGACGCAAATGTCACCTCACAGGCAAGGATGCACCTTGACCACATGTGATCGTTCGTACTGTGTCAGAGCACTAGCAGATAAGAACACTCCTAATGCTAAGTCCTCAGAGCGCACAGTACATCCACAATGTCCACGCCAATCCTCCACTTTGAAACCCTGCAGCATGTTCCTCATTTTTGGCGATTTTGCTGCCTCAGGAGACGAACAGCAGCCAAATTTACGACCGTCTTAGCACAGTTCGACGCACTTTACAGTAGACTATCCCCCAACTCAGACGGTTGCCTCCTGCCATGCGTATTTCTAACTGGATTTTCTGATTTGCATCGTATTTCTAACTGGATTTCCTGATTTTCATGAAATTTTGAAAAATCTCACATGTCTTCTCGATAATGATGATCGACATCCTCGTTTTAACTTCTCTTGTGATTCGAAATTCAAGTAAGGGAAAGTCACTGTAATGAATAAATCATAAGAAATCCATGCAAGTCATTTATTAAGCCAAAGAGTTATCTGACAGTACTCACCAATAGTAATTAGCAAGCCGAAGATAAAACCGAACAAATGCGCCCAATTGTCAATCCATGGAAGTAGGCCGGTCAGAAATAGCACAAATACGGTTAGCATATGTTTCGCAAGCTCTCGTTGGGGTCGAACTATAATGTGCCTAAAACTGGATGACATCTGCTCAGTGAATGGGCAGGTGAAAGGTCATTCAAATCTACTACTGAACGAAGGAAGTTCTACGATCCGAGAAACAAATACTGTATATGGAAAATTCCAAAACACTTAAATAAAAGAACGAACCTGTGGTGATGCAGGTCAACAACTAACGCAGCCATTATTCCCAGATGACTTCCTGATGGGCCTACTTCCGGCTGGAAAATTGGATTGAAAGAGGGCTGTGACATTCAGCATTATTAGGGTTGATAGCCCTATATAAATCAATGCTCTGGCAGTCATTCCATTTTCAAATGAATTGGTAAATGATAAGGCGATAATAACCTTAAGAGAGGTGCATTGTGCTAGCATATAATTACTGACTCATATCAACTGTATACATGAGAATACCGGACAAGTGTGTGTGACCAGACAGATGCGTCAGGCTTGGTGAAATGGTACTAGCGTCACTGAAGCGCCATGACTCCATTGAAGTAGCACATTATTATAACCTATTTGACAAGTTTGACAGGACTCTACCTCCAGAGTAAAGCATCGTTGTGTGAAACACATGCGGGAGGGGTCGTGTTTGTTCGTTGTTGGGAGGGGGGTCGTACCGAGACCACCATTTCACACATCACAATGCAGGCCCTCGGTAGACATGCATATCAAGGCTTATAGGGTGTTGGACAAGTTTGTTGGTATTTGTGGGGGTGGTTCAGTGGTTTATTTAATACAAGGCAAGAACAAGAACAATAAGTTGTAATAAGCTCTTTATGTAACGGAACCCACGTATACTCGATGAGGATGACTGAGGAAGTATGATTCCCCTACCTGGCTTGACCCCGCATCAGGTAGGGGGCGGACTCAATGAGGGATCGTCGTCTCAGACTGTGAGACGACGATGAGGGAAGGGATCGTCGTCAGAGACGACGATGGTATTCTTATGTACAGGTGGGCCAAAAAAAGTCACTTCGACCGAGTCACATATCAGCAAAGTTTTCGCTGCCCAGAGAGAAGACGTACCAGGGCGGAAGATACCCAAGATGTTCCTCGATAAGCAGGAGCTGGCTCTCGCCCATCACCTTCATGTACACCAAAATATGAAGTCATCTCCAGTCGCAGCCTGACTGGAGAAGACCTTGGAATTCAACTGCATCGCTCACCCTCCAAACAGCTATGCGAAACTTCTTAGCATGGATGTCACCTGGATAGGACTACTGGAGACCATTTCCTCTATCTGTGATGACCTTCCAACATCGGAGCAGCTTCGAACAAGACGCCCACATTCCTAGGATCATCATCTCACCCAGTCGCCAAGCCCACGGGTTTGATGGTATGGGCCTGGAAACCTGCGAATGGGAAACACCAATACTTTCTTTGTAGGATCCCCTCCCGACTCGGAGTGTATGACGCTGACCGTTTTGCATCGGATATTGCTTCGGAGAAGAATAGTCCTCTCAATCCACGTCTCGTCGCCCGTACCTTCTTTGGGAGACTTTGTACGCTACAGATTGGTGCCACCACAAGAATCGAAGGCGTTGCATGAAACTCTCGCCTATCTTGGATGGTGGAAAGTGGGGCCGCGGGGGCTTGAGTAGCCTAAAAGAAGATTGTGGATATATCTAGAGTAGGTCAGCTTGACCAGATATCCCCTCAACATTACCCACTCTCCGGGCGAGAGCTTCAAAGGGTGCGTCTACGCGTGGCGTGAGAACATGACGTATTCTCGCGCTTATTCTCAGGCACCACATCGCGGTCGCGTGCCAGAATCTCTCGATGGCGCTCGTCCAGAAGGCTGTGGCGGAGTGTCATGATAGTATTTAATATGCTCTTCAATATGGTGGTAAAAGTTCGGTCAGAATTCTAATACAATTGTAACTTATAGACCGCTCGAAAGTCAAAATGAAGAAAAGTGACTTTTTTTTTGACATAGTGACTTTTTTAACCCCCCCCTGCTACACAATTTACAGGGATCATGTTACCGCTGAGAGCGTCTTACACGTTGTCCCCTTCAGCATCTTCATTAGTGGAAAAGGATAGAGAATATGAGTGTGACTTAATCGCAAATAGTATAGATATAGTTATAACATCATTCCATAAAGGGTCACTTACACTGTAAAAAGGCGACCAAAAATAGCCACTAGCAATATTCCACCTAATACCGGAGTCTCATGATACAAGTTATAGCCATACGTCTCCATCCAATTAACATCTCAAGATCAAGCATCAACCACATTTGAACAAATACCGTGAAGGCGACATGGATAATGCTGGAAGTGCATACTGATTTAGATGAGTTTCTGAATTCTACTGACCACGAAACATAAAACATGGTAAGCGGAAAAATCTACATTCAATTACTTGTAAAAGTAAGTATATGTAACGAACCCAGCGTGCAGGAATAACGAAAACAACATTCGATAAAACTGGTCTGGATAATCTTTTCGAAGAAACGGAAGCATACCACAGATATCAGAGAAGCAATTCACCTAAACAAGTAGGTTCAACAGCAATCATTTACTTCCTGCAATAGTCTTGATCCTTGCAAACGATAAGGCATGTGAAGAGGAGCCTTAGCGAAGCCAGAACGGTCTTTCTCGCCAATGTTGCAAATTCAGATGGCACCCGGGGGTGAAAAGGCCGCCTTGGCAGCGCTGCAATCCGCGCCCCCTGACACGACTCATTGTTTGCGAGCGTAATGGCGTAATGTTCGTATTAACTTTTTCCAATCTTTCAAAGCTCAGCACAAGTTCACGCTGTGTGCAGAGCGATCAGGGCTCACTATCCGTTGGATGAAACATGTTCGAGCAGAACTAGGGTCTTATCTGTCGGTGGAGGAGGGGTTGTATTCGGTCGTGGAGAATCCCTTCCAATTGTCGATTTTTCCCGTTTTGAGCGCGTCACCCTAACCTCTTTTTTTTGGTTGGCGGCACCGAAGAACTAGTCTTGATAGCTGATTGGAGGGACTACATTACCCCACCCCGCTTCATTCGCCCGATGCCGAAAATCTGGGAGAAGTTGGAAAGGTGGCAGGTGTGATGAGAAGGAGGGGTCAACATAACACATAGGGGATATTATCAGGGTTGGGGGGGGGCTCGTACAAGGGGAGCGAATTTGGGTTTGGAGGTTGGGTAATGATTGAGAACCACCACTAACTACCATGAAATCCTCTAGACAAATAAAAATCCTAGCCTCCTGAGCACAATACAAATCTAAGGGTGACGATTATCAGGCAAAAAAGAATTGGCAACCAACCTGACTACACAACGTAGCGTTCTCATGATAATGACCTTTGACAAAAGCACAATACTCTCGCGTTGCTATTCGACACTGACCCTGCATCTGGATACAACACGGACGACCAGTCACCTATATCGCATGACCTTAAGGCAGCGTTCAGACTCCGCGATGAAAGGAGTCGACGCACTACCATTGACAATGCCGTACTGTAGACTGATATCGATCGACACCGACAGCTGGTGTTTCGAGATAAATGGGATAACAGGAGGGTGGGCGCTGCCTAATCACACTCTCAGACACTCTCCTATTCTTCCGTACCCTCCCAAAACAATAGCGGCCGGCGCCGATCGACACTCGTCTGAGGATGCGTTGCCGTCTACAATTGGAGCGCTGTTGCATAGTAGCGCGTCGATGCGCGTCATCGCGATGTCTGGACGTTGCCTAGTTGGTTATGAGGGGCATTCAAAAGTTAGTAGTAGGAGAAAATCGTAATTCATTCATCACAAGTCATTCACCTGACATGTCATATGTGCCGGTAGAAAACCACCTTGGCGATGTTCCTCGCATATCTGAAATTACATCAAACTTAGAAAATCAAGTCACATCAATTCTTCGAACGCAGTTTTTTTAAACAAAAATTTGTGAGGAAAAAGAAAATATTAGTACTCACCGGCCATCGCGTCAAGTCATCGGGCCATTCATATGGTCTAACGGAATACGGGCGAATGCAAAAACTGAAAGTGATGCTCAATATAATTCGGAAATACGTGTCTTATCTGATATTTATCCATAAAATTATTATACTAGAAAAGATAAAAAAGTCTCTGCGGGATCGATCCCTTTCTGGAGTCTACTGTTATTCAGAGTCGTACTGACGTACTGAGGGCTATGTGGCTTATACAATTACATGCGGGGTCCTCTGTTGTACAAGTCAGTGCTCTTATCCTCTCAGGCAAACGAATCCGGGATTTGACCCCCGGATTGCGTCCATGCCACTCGCCATTACACTATCTCCGCCTTATGGAACATGAGTTATGGTTATAGGGGATGATGTGGTAGTGGCAAAGCTTACTATCTGGTGGCCTCGGGATCGTATCTTACGGGCTAGCTCCTCCCCGAACAACCAACCTACCCCTCCCTGCCGATCCCGTAGATTTGTTCGAGGCCTGTCTGAAAGGGTAAAAACACAGCCTTTATAAAGCTGTAGGCACTGCAAGTCGTTGGGATGCACGTTTGAGACGCCAGTACCATTCCCAGTGTAGGTGGAATGTGTGGCGCATTCATAAAAACTACTGGTCAACGACGAAAGACTTATACTTTTTATACTTCAAGTGATAGTTGACAGTTTCTGTGAACAACAGTGAGGACAAAACTACGGGGAGTCAAAAGGTTCAGGCATGAATATTGGGTGAGTAAAAACTAGAAATTGATCGCGCTCCTGCCAAAGTATCTATTCGTCCGGTGAACAATTTCTGCACTGATGTAAAATGTAAAAGCAAATCAGAAACCTAAGGACCGTGACATAGAATACGCGACGCAGTTCGGAGCCCGAGGGAGAATTTTGCACTCTCCTTGCTTCCCACTGTCGTGTTCATTGCTTTGCCAGAGATGACAGCTATTCTTCGCGGCGAAAGTGCAATATCCCCCCCCCCACCTCGTCGCTGAAGTGATCCAACTCAGAGGTTGACGCAAGAGTGCGAAGTTGGAGTAAGGTAGTGCATTGAAATCAATGCACACTGCTTCCAATAGACTCAGTAACACAATATCAGAACTTCGTAAACTTTCTTACTCTGGATCCTGACCACAGACAGCTCCTGCTGTTCGCCATGAATGGGTTGATATTGCTGACGTTATGGAACCACGACGACGAGACAGCGTGGCCTGTACCGAAGAGAAAATTACAGCCACGACTTTTTTGGGAAAAGTGAACTCCATAAGTGCAAAATCGTAAAAATAACTGACATTATTTATACTGTCTAGTAGGGAAGAATCAGACTTCGATTTATGCACAGATGGAGGATTTGATGCTGACCACTTATGCCATGTAGCTAAGGTGCGCTGAAATTAAGAAACCGTAGAAAACAGGTTTTCACAACAAATGCTTAAAACAATTACAACTCGTCAACACCTTATATCTGAAAAAATAAACAAATAAAAATCGCTGTTTCGAAAATATGTGACAAGACAATCGTAATGTGCTGCGCTGATGGGCGTAGCAAGCGGCGCCGCGCTTGATAGACATCTTTTTCTACCTCAATGTTTGGACATGAGTATCAAAACAATGGCATATTTGATAACTCCAGTTACGGAGTCTTGTCTTTGTTCAAAATCATATGAGTTTCGCTGCTTCAGTGGGCAATCTGATGCACATCCAGAGTTTGTCGCGCATGGCAGCACGATACGCCGCGCGCGACGACGCGAAAAGTTACAATTGCCTTGTCCGTCTCCCAATGCTGTAGACTTCATTTACTCCGAAGTATAACTTACCGGGCAACTCAACTGCCCCGTCTGGTAGCATCCCGTGCGATCGTTAAACACGCAACATCCTGTGGCGTTTTCTTTCTTTCTTTCATCACTGATCAACTTCCACAGACCAGGCTCTTGTCGCATACAGGGAGAATATTTCGCACCAAGTCGAATCAGATCAGCCTAAATGAGTAAATAAATGAAAGGAACAGAAAGAATGGCAGTAAGTGTACGAAAATCTTACAAATCTTGGTCCAATCCAGAGATTTACAGGTTCGAAATAGCTGACTTGGCGCATAACTAGCGTCACATCAATGACCTCGTCTTTCATTTCCACTCTTTCCCACCCTGCTGGTCCGAGGCCGTAAAATATTAACGATACAATGCAAATTATCACTTGCACGGATGTCACCCACCAAGTGAACAAGGGCCTGAAAAACATCATAACAAAAGTATCACAATGTTTAAGGAGATAAGTCTTGTAGATAACATAGGCATATCAGAAACTACAACTTTCACCTGGTAAAGACTGATGAGGTGAATAGGTCCGCAGCTGCAGTAGGATGTCACGTTCTCCGCTCAAACCTGCAAGGCAACGAGGCTGAAGGTAGGTGGTAACCCCCGTTGCTGACTCCATATTCAGTCTCGCGCAGCAGCACGGCCAACCACATGCCTAATCGTAAACAAACGCGTTCTTTTGTGCCCCCTTTCACTAGTGGTTTTCGCCTAGCACTGAGTACGTGTCTCGCTGCGACATTGCTAGCTGCACAGCGCTGCAATATTGAGGAGAGCACGAGCGGAGTATGGGACCGGTACCGAGTATCACTACTTCCCAGCCGTTTCCGTGCCTCTGTGCAGAGAACGTGGGCACGCTGCTGCAATTGCGGACCCATTCACCTCGCACATGGGAACGAAAGGTCCTTGGAGGTGAGTGCATAGTTTATTTTAAAGGCAGTTGGCACAATAAATCCTCCAAGACGAGTAGGATTAATACGCCTGGCAGGACGGAATTCCGCGACCCTGAGCAGGCGCTGCATATGCCTTTTCCAAGGGAGGTGCCCTTATAAGGGCCCTATCAAGCCACAACATACCGACCCAACGCCCACCACGCCCGCCCGCCCACAAATGGACGACCGTTCCTGACGCTCGTATTGATTCATTTGCTAAGCAAATTATGAAGCGAAGGGATTGGTATGAAGCGGCCGTGATGCTGCATGGATATATGAGTACACATATGCAGCCGTATCTTCGGTAGCGGTTATTGGCAAGATGCCTACGAGGAACTCGTCCAAAATTGTTTCTAAGTCATTGAGAACGGAGGCTTCTTCGCAGGATTTTGACCGTTTCACTTCGTTCTTTCGCCATTTCCCACTATACAGCGCCCTACTAGCATTTTAGGCTAAGTAGGAAACCATCGTGCTAGCATTTTAGACAGAGTACCAAATCATCATGCCAACTGCCTTTACAGGTAGTTGGCGCAATAACCTCTGAAACGTGTAGGACTAAAAAACCCAGCAGGACTGGATTCGGTGCCCCTGAGCAAGCGCTGCGAGGCGCCTTTTCCAAGGAACGTACCCTTATAAAGCCCTATCAAGCTGCAACACAGCGACCTGGACGCCCTCCCCAGTATTGTGTTTCCTGGAAGAAGGCTCAGTATTGGGGGGGGGGGGGGTCCCCCCAGTACTGAGCCTTCTTCCAGGAAATGATCACCCAGAATTCTGAATCTAGGGCAGGAACAGCTCCCGAAATTTAGGAAAATAAATAAACTCGTAATGTTCGAGTGAAAAAAAATACCTTTCATCAGATCCCGCTTCAATAACGTCTCGTACCAACGGGTCCAGAGCATCAATCTGGAAGTTCTCTCTTCACAGAGGAAGTAAGGAGAATGAAAAATAGATTTGAAACTACCTTTTCTCTATGGAGACTTCCGTCATAAAAAGAACTAAGCACACCTAAACCTCTATACCGTTTATATCGAGGTCTGAACAGTTTTCCGCTGTGGCGGCCCAGATTCTAAAATTACTCAGCCGATAATGTGCTTTTGTGTGTAGTTCCAGAGTAGTCGTTATCACTGAAGTCAGTCGGAGCGTATTAGCGGCGTTTGATTTTAGCGCACTGCATACCTTTTTTCAAATGATCGCTGCGGCTTTCAACGTCCAGCGAGTGGTGGGAAAGAGGTTGGCATAGCCACGCCCCGATAACACGCCCCGGCTGTTTCCAGTGATAACGGCTGTACTACCAATTGTACTTACCCGCAATACTCCATCAACAACTCCGCGTTTCGTCGTCTCCATAACAGAAGTCTGCTTGAGCAGTGGATAACGAGGCAAGACTCGTGACTAAAAGACTGATTTTGAACTGACTAGCTGAAATATCTGAAACCAGAGAGAAAGCTCTCACAATAGTTCTGACGCCATCAAGAAGCGGACGATCAGGTTGGTTTACCTCAAGGCGATCCTCTTCGGGTACCGGCCCAAGTGGAACCCGACCAATAGGAATATGCAAACGACCATCACCGAGATCTCAAAGCATGCCGATTATTGGAGAGCAAATGCGTTGGTTTGAGTGCCTACAGCAATAACTCACCCAAACGTGATATCCCACCATGGAAACCTCGCAGCAACTCTGAAATCATTCACAGTTCAGAATTTCTCAATAGCCCAGGAAATAAAAAGGGTGAACTTCCGCCACTGATCAATCTGTCTTAGGAATGTGGCACTCATTCCATTTCCTCTCAGAATCAAAGTGGCCGATGTGCAAGTTTGTGCTCAGCCCCCCACCCCCTCCCTCAGAGAAATCCTGTGTCAATTTATGGGCCCTAGGGGATAAATGGCTTCTAGGCCCAAAAGTCTAGAACCTACCTCTCAGGCAATCGTACACGTCTTTGTAATAGCAAACACCTAATAGAACTTTTTACGAAGGGTATTTAGAAGAAAAACAGGAATACCTGGGTCAGCTGTCGGCACAGGAACACTAGGTAGTGACATTACAGTGGCTAAAGGTCGTCCGCCTTTGGCATCGTCCTAAATTCAATTTACCTATTTACTTTCACCGTCAATCTCCGATATTCGTCCCGCACGCGTTTGGGATTGAATATTCTTCAGAGCTAGATTTGGCAATTTCATTCCAAGGTGTCTGATTTCCTGTATAGGAACATCATGCCCGCTTGGCTCAAAACCGCCTGGTGCTCATGCCAACTCTCTGAGCACCAAATTTACGAAAACTCGTCCAAAAAGGTATTTTGACCCAGAAGCGAGTACCACGCTTGGCGTGAAAGGCCTGGTAGGTGTGCTGCGGTCACCGGTGCCAAACTACCTGAGCTGGCACCCATGACGCGGACGCCAGGTACTTCCACTCAAAACGGATGTGATATTCGTTCTTTCGTTCGTTTCCTTAGAGTGTAAAAAAAATCTGTCGAATCTACCTCACCACTGAAAGAAAAACTTCGAAAAACATCAATATTGAGTTTCGAATAGTGGGACAGTAAAGGGCACAAAAGGCTCACGGATGTATCACATCAAAAAACACTCGTGCCGTCAGAAGGCGGTACAGTTAGTCACATGCATAACCCAAAATTTCACTCAGTTCTATCCATGAAATTGAACAATTCATAGAATAGTAAAAATCTAAGGGAGCAAGACCCACTACGACTACTCTAGGCTCGATCGAAGCCCTGTTAGAAGCCACCTGAAGCCCTGACCATTACATTAAATGACCTCTCCATATGTGCCAGAGCCTACACAGGAAACTAGGGTGGGGTAGGAAGAAATTCGTTGTATGACAGGGTTTTGTCTCACCTTTTAGGGCCAAAACTCCAAAGCTCATGCGGAGCTTTCAAGTGTGAGCACCGACCCCTGCTCGAAACTCTCAACGACAGTTCAGTCCTAGGGATTTTCCACAAGTCAATGAAGCACTGGTAATTTCATTTGATTTGTATGTAAGGCAGCGTTCAAACTTCGCGACGGCAGCGCTTCGGTCGCGCGTTCGACGCGATCGATGCAGTTGAAAGCATGCGCATCGATCGTCGAATCGCGCGACCGAAGCGCTGCCGTCGCGAAGTATGAACGCTGCCTAACAGTTCGGCGCAGCTTGGCTTCGAGGGGCGTTTTGCACTCGCTTAGTTTAGTTCATGTTAACTAACAAGTCTCGCTTGGGGCGAAACTTGTAAAACCCAGTGAAGGCGCAAAATAGTGCGTGTAATCCATTTTGGTTACAGGATTTTACAGGTCCTGACAAGGTGGCCTGTACAAGCTTGGTAGAGTACCCTTCGGTGCCCCACCAAGCAGAACTGCGCCAACACTTCTAATGGTTTGCTTACAACAACGCGCAGTTGTAATTTCTATTTGGTGAGTTTTTATAGGGGAGGGGGATGGGATGGTTCAGAGAAGTCGGCTTGGTTTTCGTTACCCATGTTTCTTTAGACAACGCGGAACGAATTTGTTTTGCAGCTTTAAAAACATATAATAAGCGCATTAAGTGACTAAGCCAAACGAACCGATAGCGCTTGTTTACTCCGATCATCATCAGTAGAAAAGGCAAAAAAGAGATCATCAACATCTATGCGTTCTTGTGTTGACTGAAAAGAAAACAGAAAATCAACTTCCCTAGAAAAACTAATATGAGGCAGCGTTCAGACTTCGCGACGGCAGCGCTTCGGTCGCGCGATCGACGATCGATGCGCATGCTTTCGACTGCATCGATCGCGTCGAACGCGCGACCGAAGCGCTGCCGTCGCGAAGTCTGAACGCTGCCTAAGTGACAAAAAAGAAGGACTAAACCCTACCAACTTTGGCCTTAAAGCAGGTTCAGAAAGACCCTTTTTGGCGACTACCCCTCGAAGACCTTCTCGAGCAGTGGCATATGACGATGGTTCCATATCAACCATCTCAAACTGTTCAGCCTGAGACGAAGCCGCACTGATCCCTGCTCGTGATCCCGTTCTGGTCTCACCTGGCTGAATCACGCCTTGTAAACTGCACATTCGAAACTTGGAACAACGATACTGCAAGAGTTGTGCAAGACATGACCTACGAAAAGAATTGTTTCGTTTCGCACCTCTTGCTCAAAAAATATATCACTCGCTGATTCTTCGATAATTGG